ATAATAATAATAATAATAATAATAATAATAATAATAATAATAAGTGAGGATAAAATGGATTAGTCAAGAGTTCTGGGAGAGCTGTGTTACCTTTTGGATTCTTGTTGTAAAGGTCAATACCTTGTCTATGCGTTTTGCCTTTTTGTCGTGCTTGCGCTTTTCTGCTAAAGACCTTATACGCTTCAGTCTTCTGGTACTGCTCCAGTTCCCTCATATAACGCTCTTTATCTCTATCTGCTTCATCAAGGTAGCGCTGCAAATATAGAACAGATCAATGCTGTCAGCTTGTAAAGCAAATTACCATATATAATCGAGTATAAGCCGACCCGAATATAAGCTGATGAACCTAATTTTACCACAAAAAACTGGAAAAACGTATTGACTCGAGTATAAGCCGAGGGTGAGAAATGTAGCTGCTACTAGTAATCATTAGCAGGTTAAACGTTTTTGATTACTTACACAAAACTGTAATTTAAGATAAGACTGCCCAACTCTGATTCAAACATTATTCTAACCTCCTTCAATGTAAATGGGCTTACCTATTACCTATAATGATAGAATGAAATAATAAATGTAATAACATGTAATAAAATTAATAATAGAGTAAATAATGGAAATTTAATTATAATAGTAATAACAATAATAAAGTAATAAATTTGGCTCGATTCCTTTGTTGGTGGAGTTCAGAATGCTCTTTGATTATAGGTTAGCAACTAATAATAATAATAATAATAATAATAATCTTTATTTGTACCCCGCTACCATCTCCCAAGTGACTCGGTGCGGCTTACATGAGGCCGAGCCCACAATACAACAATAAACAGTAACAGCAATAATACAAAAACAATACATAAACTCATATAAGCAAAATAATCAATAAACATTAACAATAACACGATGCGTTTAAAAAACCTAAATAATAATAAATGCAATAAATATAATAATACAGTAAAATAATGTAAATGTAATAATAATAAAGTAAAATAATAAACATAATAAAAGTAATAATAGAGTAAAATAATGTAAATGTAATAATAATAATAATAATAATAATAATAATAATAAAGTAAAATAATAAATGTAATAAAAATAGTACTAATAGCAGAGTAAAATAATAAATAACCTTGACCCGAGTATAAGCCGAAGGGATTTTTTTCAGCCTAAAAAAGGGGCTGAAAAACTAGGCTTATACTTGAGTACATACAGTAACTATGCAGGTGAATTTCTTCTACAGGCTTTAACTATCCAAACAGTCAGAACAAAAACATCATCAACCACAATTTATTTATTTACTAGCTTAAATTAAATTATTGGAAAAGGGTGTTTGTTGGCTGGGTTCAATTCTTTCTGGAGAGGGGTGAACTACAAACCCCCGCAATATGTTCTGTTTGTCATGGGGAGTTTGTGTGCCAAGTTTGGTCCAGGTCTGTCATTCGTGGGGGTTCACAGTGGTCTGTGGGAGGCAAATCAGGTGATGGTACTACAAATCCCATCATCCATGGTCCATCCTCCTCCCAAACCACACCAGGTTGAATAATGGATTACAGAAGGTCTGTGTGCCAAGTTTGGTCCAGATCCGTCATTCCTGAGGGGCGCAGTAGTCTCTGGAAGTGAGTCAAGGTACTGCAAATCCCATTATCCATAGCAATTTTTGTGCATACATACATACACACACATACAATATACTATATTATTCCCTGGTTTTATTAAGGGTTTTTAACTGCTGCTACCCACCCAACGCTCTGGAAAAAACAAGGGGATTTAATCTGAAATTGAACTGCACACAAACAAACCACATTCCCCCCTTATGTCTGTTTGGGAGGAATCGAACCTAGAATTTTAGTTTCAACAACAGCGATGTGCCTGAATAAAAAGTTCTAAAGAAATCATCCCAAATGTAGCCCGGAGCATTCTGTCACATTTGCTTAATGAACAGGGTTCGGTTGCAGAAGACTTCAAAGGGAGCTGTCAACGTGCAAAGAACTTAAATCGTAGACACAAGCTAGCATGGAAATCGTGGCAGGCTTTCAGATAAAAGGCCCCTCTTCCCTGCTTCTGCGCCTCCCTCTACATTTGCTTCAGGCTTCTCAACTTATCCTAGTTTATATCCTTATCTAGAAACCAGGGGAGAGCGAGACAGGTGTGAGGGGTGGAGGGGATTTCTTTTTTCAGGGGAGTGTTGGCAGGTAAAGGGACCTAAATACCCCAAAGGCAGCAGATCCTGTCTGATCTTGGAAACGAAGCAGACTCAGCTCTAGATGGGAAAGCGTCAAAAATACTAAGGTTGTATTTCACCTGCAAAAACAGTATTCCTTGCCTAGGAAAATCCTATGAAACTGATTACCGTATATACTCAAGTATAAGCCGACCCGAATATAAGCTATGGCACCTCATTATACTACAAAAAACTGGGAAAACATATTAACTCAAGTATAAGCCAATGGTGGGAAATGCAGCTGCTACGGATAAATTTAAAAATAAAAATAGATACCAATAAAATTATATTAATTGTATTGAAGGTTAAATGATTTTGAATATTTACATAAAACTGTAATTTAAGAAAAGACTGTCCAAATCTGATTAAACCATTATTCTAACCTTGTTCAATGTAAATGTGCTAATTTATCCTTCCAATAATAATAGAGTAAAATAATAAATGTAATAATAACAATAAAGAGCAAAACAATAAATGTAATAATAACAGTAAAGAGTAAAATAATAAATAGAGTAAAATAACTTAAATGTAATAATAATAGAATAAAATAATAAATGTAATAACAATAGAATAAAATAATACATGTAATAACAATAATAGAATAAAATAATAAATGTAATAACAATAGAATAAAATAATAAATGTAATAACGATAATAAATAGCAAAAATAAATGTAATAATAATAGAGTAAAATAATAAATGTAATAATCATATTAAATAGAGAAAAATAAAAATAATAACAGAGTAAAATAATGTAAATGTAATAATAATAATAATAATATTAGAGTAAAATAATAAATGTAATAATAACAATAAAGAGTAAAATTATAATGGTAATAATAGTAATAGAATAAACTATTGTAAATGTAATAACAACAATAGAATAAAATAATACATGTAATAATAGAATAAAATAAATGTAATAACAATAATAAATAACAAAAAGAAATGTAGTAATAGAATAAAATAATAAATGTAACAATAATAAATCGCAAAAATAAATGTAATAATAATAGAGTAAAATAATAAATGTAATAATCATATTAAATAGAGAAAAATAAATATAATAAAAATAATAACAGAGTAAAATAATGTAAATGTAATAATAATAATAATAATAATAATAATAATAGAGTAAAAGAATAGATGTAATAATAATAAAGAGTAAAATTATAAAGGTAATAATAATAATAGAATAACCTAATGTAAATGTAATAACAACAATAGAATAAAATAATACATGTAATAACAATAATAAAATAAAATAATAAATGCAATAACAGAATAAAATAAATGTAATAACAATAATAAATAACAAAAATAAATGTAGTAATAGAATAAAATAATAAATGCCACAATAATAAATAGCAAAAATAAATGTAATAATAATAATAGAGTAAAATAATAAATGTAATAATAATAATAAATAGAGAAAAATAAATGTAATAAAATAATAGAATAAAATAATGTAAAAGTAATAATAATATTACAGTAAAATAATGAATGCAATACAAATCAGAATAATAACAGAGTAAAATAATAAATAACTTTTACTTGAGTATAAGCCAAGGAGGACTTTTCCAGCCTAGAAAAAGGGCTGAAAAACTCAGCTTATACTCAAGTATATATGGTACATCCAATTCTATATCTGGAAGGGTATATGAAGCAGTACCCGTTTTTCCTCAGGAGGAAGTTTGCTCCATTCGTTCCCCAGCATCCTGGTGATTTCGGGGAATGGGACCTCGGGCCTCTTGGCTCGCAACTGCTCCCTCCGTTCGTTCATAAACCGTACATAGCCAGTGAGGGGAGATTTAGGAGCATTGCTATCTCTTAAGGGTTTCTTCCTCTTCCGGCCTTTGGACCAACCTCCTCTCTTGGTTCTCTGCTGTAAGAGGAGAGAAAGAAAAAGGTTCTGGTTAAGTTATCATTTCTTTGAAAACCACCATATATATTCATTTATAAGCCAAAGGCAGGCTTTGGGACAAACATTATGGGTTCTTACATGGCAAGTGGATACATCAAGGGTCATTCTGAAAGCAACCATGTTGACTCTGACCACTTCCAGAGAAAGTAAAGAATCTGTGTTTCTTTTAGGCTGTTTCAGGATGGATTATGTTCTGTTTTTTTTTTTTTTTTGCCATTCAGAGCTGATGGTTTTGTTTTGTTTTGTTTTGTTTCTATGCTTTGAATGCCATTTTTCTGCTTCTTTGCAAAGGGTTGGACTGGATGGCCCATGAAGTCTCTTCCAACTCTAAAAAAAAATTCTGACAAAATGCCTTTGCAGAAAGACACAAGAGATTGTGTAATAAATGGCCATTGGTTGTCCTCTCTCCACAATCAAAATCGGTAATTTACTTATGCTCTGACCAATGAGAAGTTTGGTTGCATGCTGCGAGTTGCTTCTGGTGTGAGAGAATATCAAGCAAAAAGTGGGTGCTAGGAATAATATCGTGCAAAAGCTGATTGGCACAACCTAGGGATCACAACCAGACACAGTGAAGACATCTGACTTTGCGCTTTGCTACTCTACTGTATATGCATGCCCAGTGTGGAATACATTGCATTATGTTAAAACAGTAGAGGTGTCTCTTAATGATCATGCCGCACTATTACAGGATGTCTACGCCCCACACTACTGGAGAAATTACACTGTTTAGATGGTATTGAACCACCTGACATCTGCCAGGAAGTAGCAGCCAGCAATGAAAGAACCAAGGACATCTCTGGCCCATCTTCTGTTCAAATATCAGTCAGTATACCAATTCTTCAAATGAAGAAATAGCTTCTTAAGATCTACAGAGATACTGGCAGGAACACCTCAGCAAACGAGAATCCAAAAGTGGCAGGCTAAAACCCGGAACCTCAATCAGTGGCTGATACCAGATGAGAAATTCCCTCCTGGGCACACAGAAAACTGGGCGACTTGGAAGGCGCTGAACATATATATGGTTCTCTGGCCCCACGAGATGCAGAGCTAACCTTACGAAATGGGAGTACAAAGTGGAACCCACAACATGTGAGTGTGGAGAAGAGCAAACCACAGATCACCTACTAACAGATTGGAGAGATGGGCCTAAACTAACAAAATGAAGTTCAACAGACACAAATGCAAGATACTCCACTTCAGCAGGAAAAACAAAATGCAAAGATACAGAGCAGTACGTGTGAAAAAGATCGAGAGCAGTACGTGTGAAAAAGATCTTGGAGTCCTCATGGACAGGAAGTTAGACATGAGCCAACAATGTGATGCTGCAGCAAAAAAAAAAAAAAAAAGCCAATGGGATTTTGGCCTGCATCAATAGGAACATAGTGTCTAGATCAAGGGAAGTCATGCTCCCCATGCTCCGCCTTGGTCAGACCACACCTGGAATATTGTGTCCAATTCTGGGCACCACAATTCAAGAGAGATATTGACAAGCTGGAATGTATTCAGAGGAGGGTGACTAAAATGATCAAGGGTCTGGAGAACAAGCCCTATGAGGAGCGGCTTAAGGAGCTGGGCATGTTTAGCCTGAAGAAGAGAAAGCTGAGAGGAGACATGATAGCCATGTATAAATATGTGAGAAGAAGCCACAGGGAGGAGGGAGCAAGCTTGTTTTCTGCTGCCCTGGAGACTAGGATGCAATGGAGCAGTGGCTTCAAATGACAAGAAAGGAGATTCCATCTGAACATGAGGAAGAACTTTCTGACTGTGAGAGCCGTTCAGCAGTGGAACTCTCTGCCCCGGAGTATGGTGGAGGCTCCATCTTTGGAAGCTTTTAAACAGAGGCTGGATGGCCATCTGCCAGGGGTGCTTTGAATGCTATTTTCCTGCTTCTTGGCAGAATGGGGTTGGACTGGATGGCTCATGAGGTCTCTTCCAACTCTATGATTCTATTATTGTACTACAATGCAACCTGAGCCCTGCCACATGCACAATGGAAGACCTTCTGACACTGACACCAGATGCAAGTGGCTAGCTTCTGGTCCAAGGACATTTAGCATCATGCCATTTTTAAAAAACGTTGTGTCTTTTAAATGCATTATAACTGTACCCTCAACTCGTTTCTGACACAATTAATAAAGAGAAATAAGAAGTGACAGAGAGACAAAGAAGGAATGAAACCTCAGATTTTCTACTTCCAAATGATATGAATGAATCGAGAGGAAGTGAAGTTAGATTTCCGCCTCTACTCTTTGCTCACCTCCTCCTCCGGCCTCGGCTCACTATTTTCAGCTTTACTGGATGACTCATTCCGCAGCAGTTGAGCTTGTACCAAGTCCTCTGCGAAATCTGGATTGTTGGTAGATTGGGAGGCATTGCTACTGCAGAGTCCTTCCGAGTGATTCAACCTGAGGGGGAGAAAATCGGCAAAATGGTCCCACTGTCGTCAGGCCAGTGTCATCTAGTTTGCTCCTAGAGATTGTGCAATATTATAAATAGCTTCGTAATGGGTACTGTGCCATTAGACAAATAAAACTAATCTGAATCTATTGGGAGATATATTTAGGAACATCGGCTAAGGCAATTATTTTAGGAAGCCCAACAATGAACCAAGCATGCGTGAGCCAGATTAGCACAGTTACGTACCCAGGTGGGACAGCATCATTGCTCTCCTTTGAGCCGTCATCTTCTGGAAAATGGGAAGGGGGAGATGATGTGCCCATTGGGTTCTCCATTATTGCTCCTAGAGAAACAATAGAAGCAAAATGCATTAGTGCTTTTTTCTTCTTCCGCTTTATAGTCTTGTTCTGTAGCAGCATATAGGAGAGATATTATCAAGAGAGATCCTTTCTAGAGAAAGAAAAGTACGGTTTTATTTCCAGCTGGGACCCTGGAGAGGAGTTGTGT